AGAAAACAAGCGACAAGTTGAAATAGGGTTTTTTGTGGTAATCAACATTACGCCACAAAACCCATATTATTTCTAAGTACATACAAAAATTGTTCAACATTCTATTATGAATAGACTTTAAAAAATTTTTTTTTACATTTTACCTTATTTGTATAGTTGTATTTTATATTTAATCTGTATATCTGTATTTATGTTCTACTGTTAGTGTTATCTGTATGCACCAAGGGTCTGAGAGTAACGCAATTTCAATTCTCTGTGTGTATGTGCTGTACATGTGGAAGAATTGACAATAAAGCAGACTTGACTTGACTTGACTAAAATGGCGAAACGGGCAATTAATATAAATATTTCTGCCTTATGACCATATCAGAGATTTTTATATGAGATTTGATTAACTTTATTAACTGACATTTTAGGTTTGAGTGTGCATTAGTCTATAACTACTTTTTGTCTTATCCTTATGTTCTCCAATTTCAGCCCCACAAAAACAAAGATGCAACACATTTCCAACATCTCCATTGGAGTCATGTACATCATGTACCTCCTGGCTGCTCTGTTCGGATATCTGACCTTCATTGGTGAGGCCTATTACTATATTTGCATTCTTTCTTCATGCATATAGTGATGGTTTTCTCAGTAAAGCTAGAAAATGAGTACCACGATGACAGCAAGTGACAATAAAAATATTAGTCGGATTGTAGTGGCATTTGAAAAATTGGGGACATATTAAGGTGTAGTCACACTTACCATTGCCATAAATACTTAGATGTAGCAGATAGGAAGGGGACAGAATGCACTGCACTATTTTAAACTAGATGGAGTATCTTAAATGTATGTGTGCATAATCCAAAAATGTAAAATTGCTGCAAATAGAACATACAAAAATATGTCCTGTGTGAACGTTCTCTAAGAATACCAATCAACATGCATATATTGTGCCAACAGAGAGGCATTATGTCTCCAACTGTTTCCAAGTCTCCAAACATTTCATGTTTAATTTTGGTCAGGCTGTGGTCTATCTTTTAGGCCAAAGATAACATTCAGTCTTATTTTGGACTTGCTTGGATGACTAATACAGAATAAATCAAACATCTAGGACCAGGGATGAAGAGCAAGGCAGGAGTGCTGTATGTAACAGAGCATGAAGCAGCAGGGAATGGTAGTTGCCACAATTGCTGATGGTCATTTGGTCATCCAGGACAGCTTCCTGCCTTTTTACACATCAGGAGGAGACAGCAGTGTGACTAAGCTGAGATGGAGAGAATGGAGGAGGTTTTGTTGAGGAGAAAAAGGAGGCGAGACCTGTCAGGATGGATGTGCTTAGTGGTCATTCAAGTTGAGATGTCAGAGGGATCAGTGTGAGTGCAGCGGTAAAGAAGCAGACAAGAGTGTATTTTCTTAGTTTAGGTACAAGATTTTAAAATTCACCCTCATGTTTTCAGAGCTTTTGAAGTGTAAGAGCAGATTTAGACCTGCTTAGCTGTCAGCATGTGTTTGCTGATGTCACAGATCTAATCATCTGTTTCAACAAATCAGTGTTGAATTCAAGGTCATGTTAAAGTAGTATTAGCACTCCATCTAGTGGCCATTTTGCATTAATAAAAACACATTTCCACTGTGAGCAGAAAAAGAGTCATCTAATGGAGTGGTTCTCGCACTGTGGTCAATTAAAATCAGTTGCTCAGTGAGTTGATTTACATACACTACCATTCAAAGGTTTGGAGTCTTTATTATTTTTTTAATGTTTTTGAAAGAAGTCTCTTATGCTGACCAAGGCAGCATTTATTTAAAGGGGTCATATTATGCTATTTTAAAGATCATTATTTTGTGTATTTGGTGTAGGAAAACTTGAAATCGTATCATATGACCCCTTTAAGCAAAAATACAGTAAAAACGATACAATTTACAATAACCATTTATTACTTGAATATATTTTAAAATGTAATTTTATTCCTATGATGGCAAAGCTGAATTTTCAGCATCATTACTCCAGTCTTCAGTGTCACATGATCCTTCAGAAATCATTCTAATATGCTGATTTGCTGCTCAAGAAACATTTCTTATTATTATCAATGTTAAAAACAGTTGTGCTGCTTAATATTTAATTAATATATTTAATATTTTTTTTTATATATATAAATATTTAATATATTTGAAACTGTAATACATTTTTTTTCAGAATTCTTTGATGAACACAAAAGATTAAAAGAATAGCGTTTATTTGAAACATAATTTTTGCAGCAGTTCAGTTTAATCAGACCAATTTAATGTGTCCTTGCTGAATGTAGTATTATATAAGCAGTATAAATATCTATCAAAAAAAAAAATCTTACTGACCCCAATCTTTTGTAAATTAACAAAAGTATATAAAATAGGTATAAATGACAAAGTCCTTACATTGAATTCAGCTGATTAATCAACAAATAATAATGAATTAACTCATTGTGTTAACATTCATTTGTGATCAAATGTTTCTGTTGTCTCAGTTCAGTAATTGATTCAATTCAATCCAAATTCTCAGCTAGCGAATACTCATTTAGGGTTACTACCTAAAAATACTGTAGCGGTCTATTTAATTTCAACAAATTAAACAATTGATTAAAAGTGAGAGTATTTTGTGGTTTCCCCCAGATTTGGGTTGTTAGGGTTGTTTTTTTGTTGAAATGGTCCACCACCTAAAAATGTTTGAGAACTACTGATCTGAAGAATTCAAAATGCTAAATGATTTTTATTATTAAGAATTATTTTTATTGAATAAACTTTTTTTTTAATTTTACATTTAGAATGAAATTTAACTTAATATTACATTCAAATGATTGTATATGTGTGTAGATAAGGTGGAAGCTGAGCTGTTGCACACCTACAGTCGAATAGACCCGTACGACACACTCATCCTGTGCGTTCGTCTGGCTGTGCTGACTGCCGTCACACTCACTGTGCCCATCGTGCTGTTTCCTGTGAGTTTCACACACACACACACACACACACACACAGACACACACACACACACACACACACACACACCTCTGTTAAACCTTTACAATTTTAAATAAACTACATCTTATCAGGTTACGACTTCGTTAGAGGAGTCAGGATTGGATGACAGGCAGCATTTCAGTATCCGATTTCAATGCTTTTGATGCTTTTTCTCAGGTAAGGAGAGCAATTCAGCAGTTGTTCTTCCCAAATAAAACTTTCTGGTGGCCACGTCACATTGCCATAGCTGTCACCCTCCTCACCATCATCAACTTACTGGTCATCTTCGCCCCGAACATCCTGGGCATCTTCGGAGTCATCGGTGGGTTTGGTGCTCTCGGCTCTTGAATGATGTTATTCTGGTCTCTTTGTAGCACTCGTTGGATTCTTTCTCTCTTTCTTTCTTTTGAAGTTTCATTGGTGTGAAAAGAGTGTGAGAGCTGTGTACAGTGTCCTTAAGTGTCACCATGACAACCTCAAGGACCTCACCGTTGCTTTTATCTCCACATGCATTAAAGTCTTAAACTTTAATACTGTACGCACAGTCCCAGCTGTGCATAAATCCATTGCCAACAGCATTATTAATCACCATTGGAATGTGTATATAATTATCAGCAAAGTCCCATTATGCTTTTCCTTTTACTACATTAGAGTTTCTCCTGGTCTCACACTTAACTCGATAACACTAATTGTTTCTCCACTTCTCGTGAGTTTTACCTACCTCAGAGAAGAATGGACACTATTGTTCTCTTGGCCCAACCACCATGAGAAATCTCTCAATAACTATGGCTTATATTACTTGAAAAGCTTTAGCTCAAGATATTCTGACACAGTTAAGACTTAGTCCTGAGGCATAATGTTAGTGAAGTATGAAGGTTTAGGTTTACAGTAAGTAAGTGTGTACATGTGTTTATTTTTCTGTAGGTGCCACGTCCGCGCCGTGCCTCATCTTTATATTTCCGGCTGTGTTTTACATCCGCATTGTTCCCAAGGAAGAGGAACCTATGCGATCAGCGCCGAAAATCCTTGTAAGTACTTGGACATACTGTATTCGATTCCTCCCCATTCATCCACAGTGGGATCTAGTTACCTCTTGTAGGAATGTAGATGCTTTGAAAACTTTCATACTATCAGATTGAGATCCTCTCAAAACTAATCATGCTAAGAGCTTCGTAAATTCCTTGGGTAAATCCTTGGTGTGACCCAAAACTATTGTAATCTAGTAACTATTGTAATCTACTATCTAGTAAACTAATTCCCCTGAAGGTACAGCAAACAGCAGGAATCTGGAGATGTTGGGCGAAACCTGAACATATAATTGTAGTATTTCTGAATCTCATGAAAACTGCCAAGACATGTCCAGGTTATAATTAACCCTAAAATCCAAAGGGGAAAAAGTATTTTGTGTATATTGAAAATTAAAGCCTTTTTTTAGAGCCATTAAGTTGTTGTTGTTTTTTCATTGTGGGAATATTTTCATGACATTTAAGCATATTTTCTCCCTTGCTTCACATTGTAATGTATTTTTTTGTTTTTAATTAAAATTGTATTAAAAAATTTAATTTTAAAAGTAGAATTATAAGTATATAAATATCAATATTTAATTTATGCTCATTTAAAAAAAAAATTGTGTCATGCGCAAAACTCTTAATGTTCTGAAAATTGGCTTCATTTTGTTTGCACATTTTATTTGATTTCATTTTGACCCAGACATTTCTTCATAATGTGCACGCAATCTTATTTTTTTAGATGACATATTCCATTAATGCAAAATGTGATTAATTGATGCAAAATGTGCTTAATTTAAAGATCATGCACATGAAAATGGCACAATGCAGAAAAAAATCTTCATGTTCTAAAAACTAGCTTCATTTAGTTTGCAAATTTTATTGTATTTTATTTTGACCCAGATATTTCACAATATGCACCCAGTCATATTTTTTAGATTACACAATCCATTAATCATTTGGCAACGTTGTTTATAATCCTGCCTCTCTCCTTCTTTTATAGGCTGCTTGCTTTGCCTTTTTAGGAGTCCTATTTATGGTAATGAGCCTCGGCTTCATCATCATTGATTGGACATCAGGGACCAGCAAAGGAAGCAGTGGTCATTAGGCCTCACCCTCTAATGGTTTATGCTTTTTAATATTACTTTCGGGTCAGTAGTTGGGGAGGATGCATAATCTCTCAGTGATCAGTCACAAGAGTAGTACCAGATTCCTAGCTTGAATTGCATTCAATCAATGCATTATTTAGCCGTGTGACCTGCATGTGCTGTAAATGGGGTTTTGACCCATCTCAGGCCAGCATTAATAAATCCATTTAAAGGCCATCCACTTCCAAAAAGGAGTGGAAATAGTTTGTTTTAAAGCAGGGAGAAGACAACCAGAAAAGATAATCAGAACTAGAAAATGAAAGCCCATGATAGTTAGTTTGTGCCATAGTAACAGCACATGCAGTATGCAGGGTTTACAAACAAAAGGGATTATGCATTCTAACCGAACAGACTCATCAGCTCGCCCAACCTCCCATCCAGCCCTTCATATTATGACCTTTGACGTCTGTCCTTCGGCCGCATTCACAAGAGATTAGAAATCACAGTAAGTGCTCAGTTCTTATGGGAGGATTGGTGGTTATTAAAGTGTTTATTTCATCATATCTCATCTTAGATATAGCAATACTCTGTGCAATAGCTGTGAGATATCTGACACTGAAGGCCGTTGAGAGGAGACACATGACCTCGTCCAAAATCCAGACTTGATTTGGCTGCAGTCTATTACACAATTTCAAATTTATGCAAATTGTACGTATAGATGTACATGTCACATTTTTATATGGATTTATAATGTTTATCCTTTCTACAATATTTAGAGATAAATATATTAGTAGATATATGAACACACATATATATATATATATATATATATATATATAAAAGAGTATTCCGATTCATCTGGTATTCACAAGGTTATCCATCACATCCCTTTACAGTATTTGTGACTATTCAGCTAAGATGCCGTCTTTAAAGATTTAGATTTAAAAAGACAGAATTATTCAAGATGAAAGGCACATTTGAAATATTCTTCTTTTTTTAGGAATACTACTGTTGCGATGGGAAAGCACAGATTGGAAAGCACAGTTAATCATAGGGTCAGGTTTTAATGATCCCATGAGTCCTGCTGACAGACTGATTTTGAAACACTCTCTGGATTTATATGCAGAGAAAACCAAAAACACAGATTCACAGGGTCTTCTCCTTAACTGGGGAAACAAATGTGGTGCATTGATGCACATAAATGTTTTAGTTACAGGGCAAAATGGCATACATGTGGTAACCTTGCCCGGTGGAAGCTGATCGGTTTTGCTTCTAGATAGGCTTTAAAAAAAGAGGCTATTAACCCAAGTAGACAGATGATTTTGGAGACTGGTTCCCGCACAGGATCATTCGGCGATTACGGAATCCTTAAACTATAGCACTTTCAGTTGAAGCACAACCTCCGCTCAATCTCCTGACCTAGTGACCCAGTTATGATTCATGACATAATCATAGATTAATATATTTTGTAGACAGATATATGAACAAAACCTATGTACTACTAACTGTAAATTGTTCAAAGAAAAGAGTAATGTGTGGACGTCTAACATGGTACATGCATATTTTAAAATTTGTAATTGAAACTCATCCTAAAAACAAACAAACAAAAAAATCAAGCACTTACTGGCCCATAATGATCTTAGTGGTAACACTGTGGTGTTTTAGTGTGTGTATGTGTGTGTTCTCTCCTCTTCTCGCTTATGAAGAAAGGATACTTCAGTCAGTGAACGTACTGTAATGGACTATAAGATGTCTAAATAAGATGTGCATTTAAATTGTGGTACTATTTTATTCATTTTTGTCTGTTTAATTAATGTTTAATGGATAGACCAGCCACACATATAACAAAATCATCATATCTGTGAACCAGTATTAGCATAATTACATATCTCAATATCTTCTTTCAGTATTTTAAATGTCCCTGGTGATGCATCAAGGGCCTGTCAGACAGCAAAGGCACTGTAATATATTCTAAATTACAATCTGTACTTCCTTGTTTTGTTGTTGTTGTTTTTTAAAGCCTTGTTTATCATGGTCGGATGCTTCATTTCCCTCTTTGTGGTGTTTTGGGAATATATTGAGAAATGAATGATTAAATATGTCCGTATGATTGCTGAAGTGTACCATTGAAATAACCCATTGAGATCATTGTTAATTTTTTTGGTAAAGAAGCGTTTAGTTGTGTGTTCTGGTGACGATGAGATGTTATATGTGTAATGCCTCACACACCACTCTGGTTTCTTAAGCACAAAAGTGTTCCATCGTTTTAGCAGTGTGTGTTAATGTGTGTTCACATGCCTGAGAACTAAATGTGCCAGTTGCTAATGAATTGCCAGTATCCGTCATTAAGTATACCAATGGCTCTAAATGCTTCTTGATTGCTCAAAGTCTGAACATGTCTTTGAAAGTAGAAGTGTGAATCTCATGCAATGTATTTTTGATAAAATATAAATGCAGTCTGGGTAAGCATAAAAGACTTCTTTCAAAAACATTAAAAAATCTTACCGGCCCCAGATATATATTACATTATATTACATACAGTATATATCATATATTTCAGTTATTTGATTTTGGAGTGATATTTTATGAGAATAATTTTGATTTGATAATGTTTGAGAGTATTTTTAAGGAGAAATGATGAAGGTAGTTTACGTTAACCAGTAAGATCTAATTAACTTACTATCGTATAGCACAAAGTATGAATCTTTAGTATCAATGATGAATCATGGATAAATATTGTTCCCTTTATAAAAAAGTACAGTCTGATTGCTGCAACTAGAGCATTACCAGTGGTGCACCAGAACAACAAGATCCCCCATAATGCTGTGCTTCCATCCCCAGGCTTTCTCATGCACAGCTTTGTAGCTTCTGAGCTGACGTCTGGGCTGACAGCAGCACTTTTTAAGCACCTGCAGATCATACCGGTATATGATCTCCAGATCTGCAAGGTATCACAAAGCAGCAGAAGGGGCAAGAATTGAATTGTCTTTTTTTTTAGCAGCTGTGTACTTGTGTCCAGTCGGCGTGATGTTTCCCTTGTGATGTAATGAAAGTGTCATCTGTTTGTAACAGTTTATATGAATTCATTACTTACATGGCAGCATTTATATATAATGTACATACATGTAAACCCTTTATATTATAAGCACATCTATAGTTTGTATATTGTAAATAGTCAGATGATGTCAAGTCTGATGATTAAAACATAATAATTTAAAAAAATGCTTTTTAAAAAGCCAGTTTGTCTTTATTTTCTTTATTCTCAGTACTGAGTACATTGCTGGCAGTAAATGTACTGTAAACAATGTTCAAATAAAAAAAGAATAAATAAAATTCATTCATTCTTGATTCAGTCTACTGTACAGCTTTTACTGTAGAGTTTTTATATGTCTCTGTAGCTCACTGATGTAAAGGGGAATTAAATGCTGTTTACGTGCCATTTAGCAGATCTCTCCAAAGCAATACTATACTACACTAATTGTAGGTTGAGATGAAGTGTCTTTTTCAAGGGTGCAGTGGTCTGAAAGCAGTTCCTGGGGTCAAACCTGCAGATCTTTTCTTCCACCATCAGCAATTGTCTCTTTTCCATCCTGCTGATGGTCCACCTAAGTCTAAACCTGTTTATGTCAAAACAGAATCTTGCCTAGAAACAGCAGTTTCCTGAAAACGTTCACATGATTTGTGTTTCCTCTTCTCCTGCTCTTCTCAAAATGGGCAGAGCATTTTGTTCATAGTCTATTTAAACGCATCCAATCTGACAGACATGCTGAATTCCAAAAAAAAAAGTTTAATATACAGGTGCATCTCAATAAATTAGAATGTTGTGGAAAAGTTCATTTATTTCAGTAATTCAACTCAAATTGTGAAACTCGTGTATTAAATACCTGTACATCACCCCAATGCACTCTTAAAAATAAAGGTTCATTATTGATATGAAAAACCTTTAAAATCCATGGAACCTTTCTCGGTTCTTCACACTGAGAAAAAATTGATCTTTTAAGCACAGTTCACTGAAAGGTACTTTGGGGAACCAAAAATGTTTCTTCCATGTCATTGCTGCAATTGCTCCAATTTATCTAATTGTGTTTCTCTGTTTACTTGGATGTGTAATCTGGTAATCCATAAAGACACCAGGAAGATTTCATTTGGTAGTAATTTTACCGCAATAATTTATGCAGTTAGACTTTTATACTTTTTCTTTTAAGTTCTGTTTATCCATCTTATTTCTAACGTAAGAACTGTCCATTTGTAACTTGAATGGGCAAGACTTCCTGTCATTAGCTTCCAGTTATTTTTTTAGCGTTACAAAACAGCTCGTTGTGCTGTTTGATATTACAGACATGCTATTTCTTATATTATTTTACACATTGGTTTGTAGCGCTAATAGTTTTACCGTTTACTACACTATTTTTAAATAAAATCTTAAGTAAAGTAAAGTGTAAATAAATATAATTTCTGACACACGGGGGCGCATGAAACACAGAGACAGTAATGCTGTTTGCTGTAGTCTATCCAAACGCTGGAAATGCATTAAATATGGAAAAATCATTGCGAGCGCTTTAAACAAGGTTTCTTCTCCTGCCTGAGCACAAATCATACAGAAGAACAGAATACATGCCGAAATCCGTGCGTCAATATTGACACAAGTCTCAACAAAAGACATTTCTAACAGAGGCCCTAAAGAATGTCATTTGTCATCATTGAATGGCAAACAAGAGAAAGTCAGCTGTAATACACACACACAGGCCATTTTGTCTAAAGAAACCTCCAAAAAATAGCCGTTATTCTTATAAATAGATACAACTAAATACATTAATAAATACCACATTTAAAAGTAAAAGTTTAAATGAATTCATACAGTTAAAGGGATAGTTCACCCAAAAATGAAAATTCTGTCATTAATTACTCACCCTCATGTCGTTCCAAACCCCTAAGACCCGCGTGGCGCAGCTGACACAGAACAACATACACTGTTTATGTCCAGCGGATACTCTCCAAAATGGAGCTAGGGTGACGCGGAGGAGACGAATTGTTGAATAAAGTCGTTTTTTTTGTCTTTTGCACACAAAAAGTATTCTCGTAGCTTCGTAATATTACGGTTGAACCCCTGATGTCACATGGATTGTTTTACTGATCTCCTTGCTACATTTCTGGATGTTGATCGTGGTAGTACCCTCGCTGTCTATGGGAGGGTCAGAGAGCTGTCAGAATGCATCAAAAATATCTTAATTTGTGTTCAGAAGATGAACGGAGGTCTTAGGGGTTTGGAACGACATGAGGGTGAGTAATTAATGACAGAATTTTCATTTTTGGGTGAACTAACACTTTAAATTAAAATACCAGACCGCCTTGAATATAATTTTTTGTATTGTTCTGTAAATAATTAGCAGTTGTTATTCAAGTTAATCTGAATGTATATTTGCATTATTTGTAATACTGCGGGAAAACTACATTTCCCATGAGCACCCGCGGTGGGCGTATCAGAGAGAGGCTGGCTGGCAGGCAATGCGCGAGGAGCCCAACAGTTCCAAACTGTCTTCTGCTGTGTGGCAGAGAGCAACTTCTCAGCAGACTGGGGTGTGGCGGCTTTGAAAACGCTGAAAGAAATCAGAGACCGCTCAGCGTTAGCTGCCTAACGGCGCATATTATTCAAAACCCTCGGCGATCAGTGGACGGACTAACCGGGGATTTTTGCATTTTCTGATTCATACAGTTTCTCGTCGCCGATTGTCTCATCGTTCGGTTTGCTTTTTTACTCAATATCTGAGCACGAGGGGTTGATATCGACTTTTTTTTCTTTCTTTTTTTGGGAAACTTTGGCTTTGTGGATATAAGTTTTTTCCTTCCCTGTCCGCGTGATGTAAAAACTCCAGCGTCTGGCTGCTTGGCTTCTCTTGGGAGCCTCAAACGTCAACAGATTCCAGGTGGTGTTCTAATCTCAGTATCTCAAATATATAAATTCATATTTTTCCCCAATCCCGAAACGTGTTTTGAAATATTTTTTTCGGACGTACAAAACATCAGTTTTGGATCTACTAGTCTCTTAAGGACATTTCCCATCCTTGGACTTGCGACAGTCATTTTTTTCAAAGCCTAAAGAGGAAGTTAGTCACGGAAGACAATTAAAAAAAAACTCCAGTCGCTTTAAAAGGTTAATACCTTTTATTTTTTTTTCTCCTAAATCTATACTCATAAATCCGTCGCCCTGAAGCGCGCATTCGGAACCATGGGCTGCACCGTGAGCCAGGAAGATAAAGCCGCGGCCGAGCGATCTAAAATGATTGACAGGAATCTGCGCGAGGACGGCGAGAAAGCCGCCAAAGAAGTGAAACTACTGCTATTGGGTGAGTGACGAATCACAGATAACGGTCAGCGACTCGCTGCTGCTGTAAAATATCACGTTTAGAAGCACTTTGTCACACCGATAAGTCTCTGTTTGATTCAAGAACTCTTTAAACGTGTTTGAGACGGAAAGGGAGATGTTCTTGTGAAGTTCGAGGGCAAGTTTCTAGGTAACGTATGTGTCTCAGGTTTCCTCCTCAGGTGTGGCCTGCGAGAAACTGTCATCCGATTTGAAGAAAAAAAAAAAACAACTCAACTATGATAAAGCAAGCGTTTACTTGTTTGGTAGTTTAATTCTTCTCTAATTCTTGTTTTTCAGTTATGTTTTTTTAATCCAATTATGACCTGAGGCATGTGCAGAATTGATTGAGATAAGCTTGTCATTTGAGAAGATTAGTTACCCAAGATGCTCAGTGTGTGTGTGTGTGTGTGTGTGTGTGTGTGAAATATGATGACATTCATTTTTGGCACTCAACAGGTTAGTATTATTGCTTCAGAAGGTAGGCCTAACTCTGCCAGTTAAAAGTCTGGACTCTTTCTGAAATTGACTATTTTTAGAGTAATAGTAAAGGCATCAAAACTTAATGCCGGAAAATGGAAGAATAAAAATTATATAGCAAGCTAAAAATGTAAAAAGATAATAATAAAAAATAGTAATATTTAAAGTAGCTACACTTATTCAAATTACATTTACATTTGTGCATTTGACACGCTTTTATCCAAAGAGACTTACATTGCGTTACATTTTTTATTAGTTCTCCCTTTTCCTGGGAATCTAACCCATGATCTTGTCATTGCTAGCGCCATGCTCTAATGTTTGAGCTACAATTCTCTTTCCACCAATTCAGGAGGTGCATCCTGGGTTGCTTTATAAAACTGAAGGATGTATGCTGGGCACATACATTTTATTTCCTCAACATTTGGTCCAAACATCCATTTTAAGGGTGCGATTTAGATCAAAAGCTGTATAAGATCCTGAGAAACAAATTGACTGTGGTGTGCCCAAACTTTTGCCTGGTAGTGTGTGTGTGTGTGTGTGGAACTTTCCCAATCACAGAGATATAGAAGTACGTAGATGTGGAAACTGGTTATTTCAGTGTGACTTTAAGGGGAGAGGTTGAGGTAATGTTTTGACAGTGCCTGTGATCACTCTCAACATCTCTTGTTGTGCAGCATGGCCACACACACACTCACACTCAGCATGCACTTTGGCCTGGTCCGAACTGTGTTTTAACAGAAATGCAGGAATTCTGTGAGGGGAATGTTTTCGGAAGGCTTAGAGTCCAAACAGAAGCCTGGAACATCCACCCTGGGCCAAAGAAAGTGTTGAGAGTACATTTTTGGCAGGGGTTGTGTATTGTACTACTTTAAGGACTCTTGCTGAGAAATGAAATACTTTGTGTGGAGCTTTTTATGGGGAGTTCTAAAGCCTTTTGAATTTTACTTTATGAAGTCAGAAAATTGCTTTGGCGTGCCACTGAGTTGACTTTTAAAAACATATGTGAGGGAGACAACGTCTGCCCAGAAGTTTTTGGATTTGCACAGTCATTTTGTTTGGTTAACCCTCTTTCACATACATCAAACACAACCTGTTAGTTGTCTTTCGTAATGGTGTTTGTGGCAGGTCAATATGAAATGTTTAACAGCCATGAATATTTTGCCATTTGTATAAATAATTTACTGTATTTTTGTCCCACTGACAATGAAATTACTTTTTTTTTTTTTACTTTCATATGTATGAGAAACACTTGCAGAATCATATAACCTAGACATATAACCCAGTTTAGCCAGTCACAAACTGGTTCTTTCAATTCAACTTTTAATTTGAGTATTAAATTTGGACCAAAATTTAAGCTTTCTAATGAGTCAGTTGTCCTCTCAGTCTGCAAGACACCTACTCGGTCAAGTAACAGTGCAAAATCCTAATAATGTTTCTAGTGTCAGTTACTACATTTAATTCTAGGTCTCAGTGGGCTGTGCTCTAATAGCAGACATGGAGAGTAAACACTAGGTTATGGATATGAGTCACTGTCTGAGGAGGTTTAAATGACGCACATCTATGCAAGTAACTCATTACTTTTAAAGGGTCATGAAACCCCAGACTACTTTTTCTGAAATTTTAGCAGAGGTGTTTGTGTTGCATATTATAGAAGACAATGTTAGCATCCGATAATTTTAACTGTTTGAGAAAACTGATTAATTTAAAAAAAAAATTGCGCTATTTTCATCTTCCGGGTTTAAAATCTACATTGTGTTGACGTCACAATTTGTGACGCGGCAATGGACTATAGTACATCTGAGGCGGTGTCTATTAAATTATTCATGAGACTGCATGTTCTTATCCTATGAGAAGACGCTTCGCTTTCACTACAGCATGTGTTGATTTGCTATGACAGACGCTTCAGACTAGGGATGGGTACCGAGAACCGGTATTTTTTTGGACCTGTACGTAATTGGGTTGATACTGGAATACCGATAAGCTTCAGGACAAACGATACTGTTATCGATACTTGCATTGTTTTATCTCCGTATACTTCAAAGTTAACGACGAATTAGAAGCTGCTGCTTGTCATTTTCCTTCACTGCATGATGTGGCCGACGTTTGCTCGACGTGCGTGTGATATCCATGCGCATGTGCGGTAGGGCTGTGCGATTAATCAAAATCGTCATAAAGTTGCGATTTGAGCGTGCGCGATTTCTAAATCGTTTTATAGCACGATTTTCCACGCCCCCGACCTCCCCGCAGTATGCTATCCGAACCAATCAGAATGCAGCACGCCTAAATGGAGCACGAGAACAGAACAGACCAGGCGGGCATACAATACAAAGGTTCACACTCCGTCTGTGGTGCGTATTTTGTCCGTGCCCATGTTAACGGATCAGAGCATTCACACTGCACGCGATTGTGGTCCGGCAGTGCGCTCCAGGAGCGGTGCGTCTGCAGCAGTCATGCTGCGATTGTTTCCACACGGAATCTATTTCTGCTGTGCTATACGCGCTGAATTAAAGTGACAGCGCATTACTCGCGGTAAAAATTAACATGGATTGACATGGAAATTTAGTAATTAGGCCTACACCATAAATGCATATACAGTGGTGTGAAAAAGTGTTGGCCCCCTTCCTGATAGTGGTTTATCAATTTCTCTAGCCACACCAAGGCCTGATTACTGCCACACCTGTTTGCAATCAAGAAATCTCTTAAATAGGACCTGCCTGACAAAGTGAAGTAGACCAAAAGATCCTCAAAAG